CCCTGGCTCGTGTGAAAATTCATGAAAAATAAACGCTTTGTTTGTGTCCGCTGCTTTAATTTCTGCTATCGAACAAATACATTAAGGATCTTTATTAACTGTTTGACTTTTCTCTCAAATATTCCCATGTGTTGTTAAATAACGCCTGACAGAAGTTTATTTTTAATGATTTAAGCTCTAAGAGACAACAGTCTATTAGAATAATTTAGCTGAAAAGCAGGAGACAAATGTGAGCACAGTCTGTTCAGACTTAATTAAAATTCCTGTTTGATTCTGTTCGGGTGGGGTTGTTGCTGTTGTGATAAGTGAAGACGTTTTAAAGAAGTATTTGGACACCCAGATAATAAACCATTGCAACAGTCCAGTCTAGACGTGACAAGTGCATGGACCAGTTTTTCTGCATCATCTTTAGATCAGATGTTTCTAATGTTAGTGATATTACGCAGGTGGAAGAAGGAGGTTCTAGTAACGTTTTTAATGTGGGGGATAAAAGACATGTCCTGATCAAAAATAACACCAAGATTTTTAACATTAGAGCTGGAGGACAGATTAATGACATCTAAGGAGGGAGAAAGACTGAAACATTCATTCCTAAGATTAAGTGTAGAACCAGCAGAGTGAGGAGCAGCTTCTGAAGCTGTTAGACTCATAAATACCTAACCAGGATAATCACTGTAAGGGGGAAAACATCATTGTAATTCTACTTTAATTGGTGATATGTGACTTATCTGTGCTGCTGATCTCACGATGCTGCTGTATTCATTCATACCCATCTGCCAACCAGTGACTCACGATGGGGCTGTCGTATTATTTTACATTATTAGTGTTTAGCGCATATACAGTATTAGATCCTTGTATACCGTTTCTTTTTACACTTTATATTTTAGCTATTTTTGGGGTGTAACTGGGACCCTGAGTAACTCATTTCGTTCCACCTCATGTACCACATGTGATGCGAATGACAATAAACTTGAACTTGCTGGGAGGAGAACTGAAGGGGGTCTGTGAATGGCCTCATCATGCGTCTGTGCTTCTCCTCATTTAGCCTCTCCGGGGTCTTCATGTTATGGGAGGTTTAGTACTTTGGACTAGAAGTCCTGGGGTGTAATGTCTTTGAAACGGGATGAGACAGAATATCTTCCACAGCAGAAGGACCTCCTGCAGTCTCAGGCTTATACAGAAGACCTGGTGAAGTGCTCCACAGAGCTGTGGCGTGCAGGTCAGATGTTGTCAGGGCAAACGGTCTTGGTGGAGTGCCACACCAAAACTTGAGATCCATCCATCAATTATCTTTATCTGCTTCTTCCTTTTTGGGTCCTGGTGTCCATGTCCAGCAGTCACTGTGCGAGAGGTGGGGGACACCTGGACAGGTCTCCAGTCCATCACAGGGACACATAGAGACAAACGAGACAAACAACCGTTCACTCTCTCTCTCACCTAGAGACAATTCAGAGTTATCAATCAGTCTAACATACATGTTTCTGGTCTGTGGGAGGAAACTGGAGCACCTGGAGAAAACCCACTCAGCTCGGAGAGAACATGTAAATTCCACCCAGAAAGGTCCCAGGCCAGGATTTGAACCGGCGACCTTCTCGCTGAGAGGCAACAGCTCTACCAACTGATCCACCGTGCCGCCCCAAATTTGAGATCAGTATATTTAAAATTTAAAGCGTTATATTCATTTTTGTTTAGGTCAGTTGGCTGCGGTGGCCATTTTCAATCAGATGGCTTCTCATTTATTTTTTGAGTTCCAGTGTTTATTTTTAAAAACGATTTTCTAACTTCTTCCATTCTTCTGTAGTTCGTGGAGCTGATTTCCCACCTGGATCTAAAAGCCCCCCAGGAGTTTTATCTTTTATATCCTCAAACACCTCTAGAGGTTTCTCATTTATGACTCCCAACTCATAAAGACCTCATAACTTCAGAGGACGAGTTCATGTGGAAGGAAACGGGTTGAAAACATGCAGTCGGGGGACTCGTGCACGCTGCCGTACATTTTTAATCTGCAGGTCTGCTGAAGGGAGACGATAAGCAGACGGTTGTTATTTTGGAAATAACCTGAAAATAAACCTGTTGAAGAAAAATCCCTCGGAGTCTGTGGTGTGAAAGTAGCTGAGATGAATGTTTACAGACAAGAAGATTAAAATCCTTGAAAGGAAAATGTTTGCAGGAAATGTTTAGGGAAATATTCTGGTTTGTCTTTATACCAAGAAAAAACTGCTGCACCTGTTGTTGTGAGCTTTAAAGGTTGAGATTAATTCATTTTTATTTACTTCTTGAAGAGATATTTTCCTTTAAGATTTCAGTAAAACTGACTCTTGAGTTCAAGCTACTCATTTCAAATGGTTGGACTGGTCTGAATTTCCACATAAGTGTTTACAGTGAGTGCATACCTGCATTTCATAATTCCATATTAATAAATCTGGAAAACATCTGGAGGAAAGTAACTACACTATATAGTTCAGGATGTATTTTGTGTTCATCTAACAAGGCTGAGTCAGTCCCTCTGGACATACCCGACTAAACGGTATCTGCGTGGATTAAAAGCACGCCTCGGGATATTTTGTGTTTGACTTCAATCGTTGCAAAGATTACCTTTAATATAAACATGTCAGTGTTTGAGAAATGCAGCCAATGCTGCAACATTAATAACCAAGTCTGTGTAATAATGTTGAAAAATTATATTTATACCTTCCCTCGGGGTTACAATTGATAAACTCTTCTACCTTAAACTAATGACAGAAAAAAACATTAAGAGCTAAATTTCCTGGGCTGCTCTGAACTGGACATTTTCAGCTGTTTGCAGCTCAGCAGCCACTAGAGACAAGGATCAAAGATTTAAACCTGTGTGCACTTGCTGTTAATTTAAACCTTTTCCCACAAGAGACTCATTTACTCGGTCCTCTGACATGGATATTAGTGGAGAAAGATGACGGCTCAGCTCATTGGCAGATGTTCTCCTGGCATTTCACCAATAAGATGAGAGGAGTGCAAATTGACCCCCTGAATGCATCACTTTAATCTCCATGAATCAGGATGCAGATTTAATCCCAGCTTGTGTTGTAGTCTGTGTTTTAAGGTTTTTGAGCTTGGCGTGGTAAATTCATGGTAGAGATGAAAAGACATAGCTGTTGCATGAAGTCAACTGAATTTTTAATTTCTACAAAGCACATGATTACTTCTTGTAGTTGAAGACAAAACAGATCTCATAAACAAGAACATTTATTATTCTGTGAAGCAACAGAAGCATTTGTGGCCAGTTTCCCCCCCAAAACTCTGCAAAGTCACCTTCAAGCACTCCAAGTCCCAGTCCTGGTGTTTTTGACAGGTTTGTCTCTTCACAACACGCGCTGCAGCCTGTGGTCAGAGCACGGCTGTCTGAAGGAGCGAGCGGGCTGCAGCATCGTTTTTCCTATGGAGTTCCTCAGCTGTTTCAAAAGCATCCAGAGAAGCAGCATCATGAGCAGCATGAGCCCAAAGAGCATCCCCACATACAAGCTCAGGTTCCAACCCCAGCCCAGAGACAGTGGCAGCGAGGTGGATGCCACCAGAAATTTTTTGGGAGCAGGCATCGGTTTCAGGCAGCCAACCTGCCCTTTCCACCTCCAAACGCCACTCTTCTGTCACACTTCGATCTCAAGGTTGGACTGTGTAGTGATGAAGATGCAGGAGCCATTATTTAAAGTATCCAACTGCCACGTTATTGAAAAAATCCATCATTTAATCCCGTTAGTCCCAAAGAGCGCCCTCAGTGATGAAGCAAACCTGTTGAGGGCGTGTGTGCAGCGGCAGAGCGGTCCATTCTTGCAAGATAAAAATCCTGAGCAGCTGTGCTCTGCTTCCTGTCGGCTCACACAAAGCCAGCCTTCCCATTTATCACGAGGGGAGAGGCGCCTTCAACACCATTGGCTGCCCCTCGCTCACTTTCACAGGAAAAAAATCAAGACACTGATGAATGAGAAATGGAAAAATGCTTGATCACGCTCCATTTTAAAAAGATGAACTGGCCTTTAAAGCAAAGCCAAGTCACAAACAGCGAGCACATCTTGAACGTTGTGCTCATGTTAAAACGTTTAACTGTTCCCCATTAGAGAACTGGCTTTGAAGAGCTTTACTTAAAAAGTTGTCTGTTGTAGTCAAACTTATCCCAGCACCAAGTTTTAACTGTTTAACATGAAGCCTTTTACATCTTTAGATCCCGAAGCGCATGCTCAGAATCAACATGTGATGCATTGTTGCAAAACTATTCCAAGTTTACTTCCAGTTCTTTGAAAGTCACTTTAAATCCATTTTCCTGTTTCATTTTGCTCTGCTGTCATTTTGACTCCTGGCAACATTACATGATGAGGATATATAAACTCAAAATATCAGGAAAAAACTAAATTTAGAAACGTTCATGTAAGTTTTAAATTGAACTGTAAAGACTAGACCTGAACACAAGACCTGCTAAGAATGCATCTGAACATGTAATGGCCAATTAAACATGCACTTTAGTTTTAAATAAAAATATTTGAGCTTGTTTCTTTGCCACCATCTGAAAAACTGAGGACATGTCCTCTGCTGCCCCCCTGAGGCCACTGGTGTTACAGACGGGACCAGTTTATAAAACTTTAATAAAACTGATTTTATTTACAGGTGCCATATTTTACAGAGCAGAAGATGCCTGATGATGTCATGTACCAAGGCTCCGGTGTAATGAGACAAGATGACTCGCTGACCGACTAATTGGCATTCCATGCAACCACTGCTTTAAATGCCACAGTTCCGAGTACCTGGTACATTCACAGGTCAGGTTCGATGCTATAAATCAAAGCAGCATTTCTAGAAAAAGGTAAAATCTCTGGATCTTAATGGATTAAGTCAATTTATAAAAAAAATAAAAAAAACTGCTTGATTAGTTGTATTTTTTCCTCTGGCACAAACATTGGGATTCAGGATGTAAAAAAACTTTTATATAGCTAGAACTACTCCAAAAAGAGCAGGACATTTAAAATGGTGGCACATCATTTACAAAAAAATAAAAAAAATACACCCTAACCTACAACGAGGTACACGTGCACGTTAATCATGGAGACTGCAGTCAGTTCAGCAGCAGTGTGGCTGGTGGGTTGATGCTGGAAACTTCATGGTACCTGTAAAAAAAACAGCAATTTAAGCCCGACTGCTCAACAATAACCACATCAATTAATGATGAATAAAATGTTATGAACCAACTTTGAGCCCTTGTACTTCTCCCGGACAGACTGCTGGGCGTGCTGCGCAGCGTTGGCGTATGTTCGATGAAGATCCTCGATGCATGGCATCAGATCATCGAGTCTGTAACCAGTCTCCTCCACCAAGGACTGGGGCTGAGAAGGTCAGAATGAAACACCCCTCAACTACCACAACATGAACATAAACATGCAACAAGGCTTCACTGGTTTGGAGTTCGTCCTAAAGAGCAGAAACGTACCCATGAGCCTCCAGTCACCGTGTTGTTGGCCAGGACGAAGGCAGCAGCCGCCGTCTCCGAGGGCAGGTACTTCAAGAATGGATCCGAATCAACCAAACTGAGCTCCGAGAGGTACTACAAGAGAAAAAAAAAGATCCGTTATGGAAAAACACAGCCAGCCCAACTTCAGGTAATCCTTCACGCGTGAAAGATTAACCAGATGTGCAGATGCTGTTCATCCGACCTGCCCCCCCCCCCCCCACTCACCAGTGCCAGGCTCTCCACCCGTTTGGCAACAGAATGGTGGCAGAAGTACAACGTGAGAAACTGGTTTATTGTTGGCGCCGCCATGTCAAAGGAGAGCACCTTCAGCACCAAATGCTCCATTTTCAACACTTGTTTCTTGGTGTAGGTGTCGTCTGTGATGTAGACAAACTCTGCCACCTCAGGAGGGTAGATCTCCTCAAACTTTCTGCAGTTGAACATGAACAAACATCAGGAAAACTTCACTTTTTTTAAATTAAATAGTTACAGTAGGAGGCACGTACGAAGCCAGCAGCATGGCAGCGGTTCCCACAAGTTGAAGTTTTCCCCTCAGAACGGACATCGACGACAAGAAGCGGTCGATGTAGTTAACAGCCAGATAGAGAGTCTCGTTCTGGAGCTTGTACTCTTCTCCAACCTCAACCAGCCAGTCTACCAGGATGGCCCTCATGCTGTTTGTGATGTCATGCTGCTTCTTCATGTAGCCTGCTTTAGGCCTGGTTTTCATCTGCAAAAACACGTCATTTAAATATGCACCCAAAACAAAAATTACAAGACCATATACTGTAGACTGGAAAGACGTTTCTCACCTCCATTTCTCTGAGGTACTTGTGGATTTCAGCAGCATATTCTGGAAAGTCGTTTGCGCCAGATGGTTTTTCCTCCCCTTCAATCACAGACATGTCCATGGGAGAACCTGAAACAAAACGTACACTTTATAAAAAGGCCAAAATGAGATTGTGCATGATGAATGCTGTACAACTGAGGGTTTAATGAAGAAAGGAAGACAACCCACCAAAGCTGACATCCATTGCTGGTGGGATATTGATGTTGGTCAGGGGCTCTCGGAGCTGGGTCACCGCACTGCCGACTGCCAACAGAGATTCTTCCAGCACTGGTTGTGCTTTAATCATTTCGGCCACTTGCTTCTTGGTGCAGGCTCCATCAGGCTCATCCACATGGATCTGGAAGGCCGGCTGCTTAACAGGCGGCCTATCGAAGCAGCTTTTGCTGAAGTCTTCATTTTTACAAGCCAAGGGTTGCGAAGCTTCCTGCAAACAGCAAAGAGACAATTTCAGGAGCAAAAACTTCAGTCAGTTAGAATGTACTCATTTAAAGTTCAAGCCGCAACTGTGAAGAAGTTTAAAAATTACTCATCCTAGAAAAGATTTGTACAAGAAAAGTTTGATTCCTGGCAACATGCATGCGTGGAAATGAGGATGAGAATCAGTTCTGCACATACAACTGAGCTCAGCATGTTAAAAAGAAACAAAAAAAACTTGGAGACGAGTGCACAAAGGGCTGCAAAGTAGCGAGTTTAAGAAAACAAAGCCCTGATCTTGCAGCACATGATGGCGGGAGGAGCTCCAGAATCACTTTTCTTAACAAGGGCTACAAGTCGGGACAGTAAAATGGCGGCCAGCCGGGGAAACTGCATCTTTTCAAAGACGACAGGTAGTTCAAGACATTTGGAAAGTGATGTTCCTCGGATGTGATCAAACTGGCAGCTGCAAAAGGTGGAAGAGCAGCTAGCCTCGGTGTTAGCCTCGGTGTTAGCATCGGTGTTAGCATCGGTACCCACCTGCTTCGCGCCGCGCTGGTTCTGGGCTCGGCTCCGATGGTTGTTCTGCAGGGCACCCAGGACGGTTCTGTTGGAGGCCTGCTTCGGTGGAAGGTTTTCTTGGTTCTCGGCAGCTCGCGGTTTAAGGGAGCCTCTGAGCCTGGGGAGCATGTTCTCCTGGTTGGGTAAGTCGCTAGCCGCGCTTCCTTGCCTGGTAGCTCTGGACATGATGGCAGCTTCTCCTGAAACAAAAACTCCTGCCGCTCCTCCTCACTTAAAACTAAAATACTGCCACGGCTGAACACTCGTCCTCGTTAAAAAAAAAAAGAAGTTTAGTTGGTAAGAGATGGCGGGTGAGCAGTTTCCAGGTAAGCGTTTAGCTGTTGCTCAGACTACAAGCTTAAAGTCCAAATAACTGTTGAGATGGCAACTACAACGCTAAAACAAGCAAAAATAAAAGGTGTACATTTGGCAGTAAGCTGGTTAAAACGAAGAAAAATATTTAAATTTGACACTTCTTAATCTTTAGGATTTAGTACAGACCTGCACACGGTAATCAGCTATTGTCGATCCATTTGTACAAAAACATGAAGTGAGCGGAACTTTCTCAGTTCAAGTAGCCCGCGACGATTGAAACCAACCAATCACAAACCGTAAATCTACTGACGTCACGTATAGACGGGAGCCGAGACGGGGCAATATTACAGTAATTGCAAATTCAAAACCGGTTTGATCATACAAGACAAACGTTAAATGGCAGTAACGAACGCTAACAGAAACAATAAAAAACATAAAGTTATATAAAACCAAGCTGGTATATGGTTTTATAAAAAAAAAAAAACTGTAGTATGCTTTTTTGTAACTGTTTATTGTTGTTGCTGTTGTCCATTGTTGTCATCTTTCTTTGTTGAAATCAGGTCTCTCTTGTAAATGAGTCCTCGAGGCTCAATGGGATTTACCTGTATAAATAAAGGTTGATTGATATAACTATACAATACAATAAACCATCTAAGTTTAAGTTTAATAGCTGCACTCGATCAAATTCAAACGCTTTCCTCAAACTTTGGGGAATTTAGTGTTGATTTTTAAAATATATTTTCAATTTTATTTTTCTTGTTATGAGGTAAAGGCCATTTTTTGGTCCTATATAACAGTCACAAGTTTATGTAAATTACTCCAACACATGCACATAAAGTAAAAAAGACATATTATGTTAGTATATTTTGTTTTTCCATGATTCTTTACAGTTTAGATGATTTATTTTTACAGATAGCTGAAGTTAGCATAAGCCCTTCTAAACAATGGTAACTGGAAGAAATGTCAAACTACCAGTATATGCAACTGGACAGTCCAAGTAGAAATAACAATGTAGTAAGAACTGTAATCAGTTTAAGAACAAGTGAAATTAGTTGAAACACTTTGCACATTTTAATTAATTCTGCATCTTAGAAAACAAACATTAAAACAGAAATGCAATAAATACATGAGATCAGTAAGGTTACTGCAGAAGAATTTTATTATAGACGTGATGTAATGACTAAATATTTGTTGCATACACTTAAACTGTATAAAATCAATTTCATGCTTCACTAAAATACTTTTTTATGCAGCTTTGAACATTTAGTTTTTAAACATCAATCAAATAAATTGAACCTCAACTAAAAAGAGAAACGTGCAGTTTTCTGCTAACCTACACACACATTCTAAACATGATAAAAATAATATAAATATTTTAATATTCTGCACTATAATAAAATATAAATAAATCCTAAAAAGAAACAAAACATTGACACATAGTGTAACTATTATTATATAAAGATAAATAAAACCAGCACAGAGATAACTATTAATTGTCTGTTATCACGGGTCACTGAAAAAGTCCAACAGTGAATTTAAGTCATAATTATCAAGTATTTCCAACAGTGAAGACACCTTCGTTTTCACATTATGTCCCTTGAATTTGAATTTGTCAATGAAGAGATCGGTGATCATTCCTGCAGGAAAGATAAATGCACAAAACTATAAGTCACAGCGTCCTGATGCTGCTCAATAATCCAGGTAGATAAATCTATCAAGGTAGAGTCAGGTCCTCTGGACGGATTCTTCTTTGTTGAAACGTTTCATTTTTTATCCAAAACACTTCTTCAGTCTGAGGAGCTGCAACAAACTCAGTCTTATAAAGAGCACCTTTTCATAGTGGATCAACCAGTTTGATGTTGACATCCAGAACTAGCTGTTCACGTGTAAAAAGGGAGGCCCATCAGCCTAACAGTTAATCATTAGAGCCCTGATGGCTGCTTGCTATTCACAGCAGCCTGAGTGATACTACGAATAACAGCATTGTAAGAGGAGGACAGTTGGACACGGAGGCTTCCTCCCGTTTAATGATGGACATGTTCTCTTCACAAAGATGGCTTCCTTCCTTCCCACACAGACCAGTATTTGCACTTTGACTCCCATCACCCTCTGGAGCACAAGTTAGGAGTCATCAGGACTCTGTACCACAGAGCAGACAGCGTCCCCACTAGCTCAGGAGCCAGGCAGAAGGAGAAATCCCACAAGACAGGCTCTAGAGCAATGTGGATATCCTAACTGGGCCTTCTTGAAAGTAGAGAAGAAACCCAAACAGGACTCCAGTCAGCCAACAGGTGAAAAGGAGGAACCCAGACCCAGACAATATCCTGATGCATGCTCAATAAGACCCAGACCAGTGGTCATTCTGTTTGTTGTAGGAGTTTCAGAGAAACTGAGACATTTATTTTCTAAACACAACGTCCCAGTGGCTTTTAACCCTCAAAATACATTAAAGACTGGTTCATCTCAAAGATCCAGTCCTCCGGCACAAACAGAGTAATGTTGTGTATGCTGTTCAGTGTCAGGAGGGTGATCAGTCTTACATCAGGGAAACTAAACAGCCACTGGCCAAAAGGATGGACCAGCACAGAAGATCAACATCTTCAGGCCAGGACTCTGCAGTCTACACTCATCTGCAAGCCAGAGGTCACTCTTTCAGGGATGAAGAAGTTCACATCCTTGATAGAGAGGAACGTTGGTTTGAGAGGAGTGAAGGAGGCCATCTTTGTGAAGAGAAACCGTCCATCATTAAATGGGGCGGAGCCTCGGTGTCCAACTGTCCCCCTCAATGCTGTTATTGCTAGTATCACTCAGCCTCCTGTGAATAGCAAGCAGCCATTAGGACACTAATGATCAATTGTTAGGTTGATGGTCCTCCTTTATCATGTGAATAGCTAGTTCTGGATGTCAACAACAAACTGGTTGGTCCACTATGAGAAGGTGCTCTTTATAAGACTGAGTTGTTGCAGCTCCTCAGACTGACAAAGTCTTTTGGACAAAAGACAAAATGTTCCAAGAAAGAAGAATCCGTCCAGAGGACCTGACTTAATTTTGTTAGATATATGTCACAGAGAGCCAAAAAGCTCATTAACAGTAATAATGAGCAACAACTGGAGTTACATAGTTAAACCAGATTCCTAATCTTTACCGTAGAGCCTTTCAAGGTGTGCTGGCTGCTTTTTGTACTCTTCCAGGAGATTAGCAGATTCATCCAAGATGCTGCGATACTCTGGGATCAGGAAATCTGCACTCCCTTCATGAACCTGAAGCTCCTGTGAACCACGGAGGAAATGATGGTAAACCGAACCCTGAATGAAGATGCGCAGAATACTTTGAAACAGCCCAAACTCGCCTTAAGAGCATCGACGAGCTGAACTTTTCGAGCCAGCAGCAGCTGGTACTCGAGCTTTGGATGGATCATCCTGAGTGTGTGGCTCACAGAGTCATCATTAATATCTGGAACATTATTAAACAGATTGTTTTTCATGTGTTACAGTAAAATACACATCAGCTTGTACTGAAATGGAAAGCAACGAACCTACCATATGAAATGTTTAGATTAATTTTCTTTTTGGTGGCTTCTTTAGAGAGAACATCACTTAGTATAGAGATGGTGGAAATGTTGTCAGACTTGAAGTGGCCCTCACCTTTGCTGAAATTAAAAATTCAGACATGTTAACATTAAGTAGATTTAGGATGAAACCAAATTAACAAGTTCAAATAATGTATGAAAGTATTTTAAGATGAACCATTTTATTTATTTATTTAAAACTATTGGCTTTCAGAGCTCATCATTCTGCACTGACAAAATGTAATAAATGTTGTAACTATTGGCATTATATAAAAAAACACAAACTAAAAAGTGGCCAATTCAAAGAGAGAACATGCAGAGAGCTGTTGCTTCTGTCTGAGTGACAGGAAATGTGGCCGTAACAAGAAAGTTGCCAGTTTGCAAAGAATCCAAAAATTCTTTTAAAAAGATGAATTAATTTTGAAATGGTTTTTGTCACAACTGTTTTTATTGTTTTTACTTTGTTTGAAGGACTTCTCAGCAGCGTCATTAAACTGAATGTGTAGAAAGTTTGTATATAAAGTTTGTATATTTTTACTGTGCCTGCATTTACCAGTAGGTGGCTTCAAGCTGCGTGCCCAGAAATGTGTTGTGGAAGTAGAAAGTAACACTTTCACCCGCTGGTGTTTTCTCAGGGACCTCCGGCAAACAGAAAGCCACCCAGGAGTGGATCTCTGCAAAACTGAACTGCCCCACCAAACTGAGCTGATTCATGGGTCTGAAACAAAGTGGCAAAGACGAGAGATCGATAATGCATAAATAAAAGAACAAGAGCAATTGTCACCATTTTAAAAAAACGTTTTACCTGAAAATCTGATCTTAACAACAAATGTTTAAGAGCAAATAACTAAAAATATATAAAAAAATGAAGAACATAGTCTTAAGGACAGCAGCTGACAGCAGAAATGACATTTGTGTTTGAGTTTATGCAACACTGTTCACTTTTGTTATGACAAATACCTTTAATGGTTCAATGGTTTAACGTTATGGTGCGGTACAGTATGATGTGGTATGGTGTGGTACGGTATGGTATGATATGGTACAGTACAGTATGGAATGATATTGGATGGGATGGAATGGTACTGTACGATACTGTATGGTATGGTGAGGAACATTATGGTATGGTACAGCATGCTATGATGCAGTATGGTAATTTGACAGTTTTGTTTTGGCATCTTTTATTGTGTTTGGGCTTTAAAAATTGTGCTTCAGCTTAAAAGGATCTTTTTGAAAGTCAACCAGCCTGAAATGTTTTCCTTTCTTTCTGAACTGTAACCTTTACCTGTCTGGATCGATGCTGTGCATCCGCTGGTGGAGCGATAAAGGTTTGATCTGATACTGCCGAACCTGGCAGGTCTTAGGTTGCAGTCTGGGGGTAACATAAGCCTGCAGGGTCCCATACTGTCCTTCAATGGATCTCACCTGTGGAAACATTTGATTGTGGAGGAAACATGTTGGTCTGCTCAGATTATATAAATTGTAAATTAAAAAAATAAGAATAAATGACCATTTTCAATACAGCATCTATTTTATTGCTTTTCTTTTCAGAATGCTGAGTCAATTAAGCAGTAGAAAGAAAAAATATGTTTCTTTGTTTTGTTTTTTTACAAAACTTGGCCTGCTGCGTTATAGTTCCATAACCACCACAAAGAATTACAGAAACACTTTTAGCTTCACTTATGGCTGACTGAGTTAGAGGAACTGCTTACCTTCAGTTCAAGTCTGGTAGTGTTGGCCTGACATCGGTATGTGGCCAGCAGGAAGTTCCCATTAGGTTGCTGGGAACAGAATCAGAGTCAGACCTCTGGGAATAGATGCAAGTTTGAAGTCTTACTTGTACAGTTTAATTTTTATTCAAACACTTATTTTACCAGGAAAGAAGTTTAAACAGCCCACCTCTGAGTCGCATTCACTGAAACTGACAACAGCTGAATTCTTATCTACGTCCAGCAGGTCTATGGGGACGTCACTCTGTACCAAAAAAAACAAACAAAAAACAATTAAAGTTCCATGCTGCATGTTTAAACCTGAAAAAATGGATTTAAACTGGTTTTATTTAAAAACTGAAGGATAATATTCTGCTGTGTCAGCAGGGCTTATATGCTTGGTATACCTGGAGCAACAGGTTGTCGATGGCAGTCTGCACCTCCAGCGTGAGACTGTAGCTGGCATCGTCCTGACTGAGAGTGAACTTGTCATTGATGCTGAAGACGGGGACAGCAGAGACAGCCGTGCTTGACTGAGAGGTCTGCTGGTACTGCTCACGGCCCTGCAGGACTTTAACCTGCAGCTGCTCCAGCTCCGCTCTGAGAGGCAACAGTGAGCAGCTGAGAAACGGCAACAAACAAATCACAGACGGGGCTCAAAGAATCTCCGATACCTGAGCGATTCTATTTTAGACTGGGTCTCTTTGCTCATCCTGACCTCGTCGCCTGGACCAGCCTCAGCCTTCTGGGGCTCGGTGGTCAAACCAGTGACCCATCCTGGAAGAGTTAGCCAAATTTAAACATTTTATAAACAGGTTATATCTACAATTAAAAGATGGGTACAGCAAACTAACAGAAACAATCCAATCTGTTCTTTTATGTCAAAAAATGGCAGCGGGCACACTCACCACACTGACAGTAAACATCTAACCTGTATATGTGGCAGTCAAAATCTCATCATAAGACTCTTTTCCCACGCAGCCACCCTGGATGGAGGTCACACTCTCTGACAAGACCTGGAACAAACATTTACATGTTACTGAGCATGCATCGGGATATTTACATGTTACCTGTTGTTAATACGGACAATAAACCTTTAAGCTCAACACATGAAATATGATGTAATGTCTGGAAAAATGCACAAACTTCTAAATAAAAGAACAAAAAAATATTGTACCGGTACATGAAAGTCATTCAACACAATGTTGCATCATTAAAACATTTAGTTGTTTAGAATAAAAACAAAAAACAAACATGATTTGTACAAACTGTGTGATGACTGACAAGTAAAAATTAAACTGCCTTTTGCGATTTTGATCATTTCAATTTAAATTTTTTCCAGGCAAAAACTTACATGCTCAAAGCGTAATGTAGGCTCGTTGGAGCTATCAAAACCAAAGACCTCAACCGTTCCATCATCTCTGCCAACCAAGATGTCACTCACTCCATCTCCTATAATGTCGTACGTGTCAACACAAAGAATCCCTGAAGGAAGGAGAGACGTCAACCAACCAACCTGCACACAGTCTGTATCAAAATTAAAGTTCTTACATGCAAGAGGATTCAAATAGCTCCTCACTAACTGACTGGCTAAATCAAACAGCAGCACATGAGCTCTACCTCCTTTCTTCTTGTCATTGTCGATCTCCCATTTCGTCACAGCTGAGCGCTCACCGATCTGAACTAACCCAACTTTTCCATCTGTGGTTCCATAAAGGACTTCATCCCCTGAAAAATAAAATCATCCAGAATATGTAAAATCCCATCCAATTAAAATCGTTTTATGTTAAGTCTTTATAGTAGACCACAAACTGACAGACTTGCCTCCATCTTTATTATAGAGCTCCAACACAGATGGAGGTCCAGGAACTTCAACGTCATACGCAAGTTCAGATCCCTACAATTCGAGTGAAAAAAGGCACTGACAAGTAATTTCATCAGACTGTTTGACGTAGAACAAAATATACGAGTCTGGTTTACCTGCAAGACTCTAAGAACTCGATCTTGGCAAGCCACGACTGGCGTGAGACGTGAGAACTTTTCCGAGGACAAACATGTGATGTCGTTAATTTTGTCTCCAGACAGGAAGTAGTCCTGGTCCTTGCAGTCGCAGTAGTGGTTGTAGATGTAACTTGCACACACAAAAAGATCGGCGCCTGAGACGTGCCTGGAAAGGACATGGCATCACTCAGTGAGGCACGGTCACAAAGTCACAAATCCATCCAAGAAGGAACGATAAGATGTTGCTCCTACATGGCGTTAATGCTCTCAGTCAAGTTGGCGTCAAAGGTGAGGAACTGTTTGCCTTTCTTGGTGAATCCTCGGACCTGAGAACCAGAGCAGACAAAGATCTTCTCCTGAGGCGTTCCCAAAGCACCTCCGAGGTCCATTCTGGATACTTTTGGCCCTGGGAGTGTTTTAAACACAGGCTGAAAAACAGAGTCGCACATCTTTATGCTGAAGAAGATACTTTTTTCTTTCAGTTCTATATTAGCTGCACAGTGAATAAAAAGTTTAACTCACTACAGCTTCCCCCTTCTTCATCCCAAAACACATAAGCACGCCATCATGATCAGCTATAGCGACCTGAAACACAGAAAGACCAATAAGCAAACCCAGTTTAACATTTTCACACTTAAACCAGAAACAGAAAACATGGCAGATGATTTTAGGGTTATTAATGGCTACAACACCCTTGTATTTTCCTCAGCCCCTGCTTCTCATCTCTCAGCTGACAGAAAACACGAAGCGTCAGTAAAACCCTTAAGCGTGTTTAAATCACATTAAACTTCAGAGGCTTTACAGTGTAGTTTTAGGAAAACAGGCTGAGAAATGACAATGGCAATCACCATTAAAATGTAAGACAATAGCTACAATAGCTGCTAATTTAATTAAGAATGTATTATGAATTTAATTAATTTTAATAAAAGCCTAGCATTTGTTGAAGGAATGCTTATCAGATGCAGGCCAGCTTTAAGCGAAGATCACCTTAAGCATGAAACAGGAGGTTATATGTGATCTCATGCCACATCTGCAAGATGGATTAGCACTTGGAGTATATGTTGAGGATGACTCTCAGCTACTACCACATCCAGCTGTAGCTCACAATCTGAACATTTAACAGTTATAGCGAATCTTGGATTGGGTTCTTTCCAAAAGGTAGTTGTATATAAAATGATTACTTTGGGAGATTAATTAAAATCAGTCCAGTGGTTCATGGGATACTCATAAAAAGCACCTTTTGAGTGGTCTTTTTACCCACTGCTGGAAGAAGCCTCATGGTTTTCTGGGATGTCACACCAACCTGGGAGAACAGAATGAGAAGGTCTACAGTCCGAATCAAACTCGGTGGAGGAGCAAATACAAACGCTTTAAATTAATACAACTTCAAAACGAGCAGCTCCGGTGTCGGGTTACCTGAGTATAGTCAACTCTGTTGAGGTGGATCTCCATCTTCTTTCTTTAATGCCTTTTTATATATATATTTAAAAAATAAATAAATCTTCCGGATTGGTTTTCTGGTCGCACAAGTACGAGATCAACCAGTTACCTTTAAAGTAAATTAAATATATACATACACATATCAGGGAAATTTACAGAACAACAATAACATCGTTGACTTGGATTATTGTCAGGAAGGAGATTAGCACGACGTGCTAACGTTAGCTAACGCGATTAAATCACGGGCCAGCTGTCGGTTCGACGAGCGGAAGTCATTTTAGACCCGGTCCAGGAAGATCCGCCAAAACGAGACCTTATCTGCGTTTGTGACAGAGCGAACACGAACTCTTATTAAGAGGTTGGACTAGGCCTAAACTAGAAGACACGCTCATCGAGAAACGTTATTGTTGCCATAGCAACAGTACATCCAGTTACAAGCTGCAATCCTATTGGCTGAATGAGAACGAGCAAAGTTGAAGCCGTAATCTGATTGGCTGTCTTCAACTGCATGGCATTTAATACTTGGGACAAATATATTAAAAAAAAATTAAAAGTCGAGATATACAAAACTACATGTTTAGATAAGAGGACTTATTTAATAACCCACGGCTTGTCAAAATAAACATAAATTGCAGCTGTGGCTTAGGTTTTTAAGGATTAGTTGATTGAGGCAAGATTAATTAAAATCACACATGGAATCTTTTACATTTTACTTTTTTAAGAGAACTTTATTCTGGTCATAAAAATGTGGTGTTGCTATAGGTAAATAAGCACATTAGACATGGTGGAGACAAAAACAAAACAGGTATTCTGGAGAAAACCTAATGCAACATGACTGGAAATCCATCAAAGCTGCCTTTAAACTGAGACAACAAAAAGCATTCAAAGGGATGACATGCTTTAAGATAATCATTTCAAACATGAATCCTACAACAAAATATCTGGTACCTTAAAATACAGCAGTTATTTTCTCAAGTGAACATCAATTTAACAACATAGCTACGTAATGGGTGTATGCTGTTTAAAGAACTAGTGATGGTGTAGTATAAAACATTGAAAGTTAAGCATTCAAACAAATTATAAGATGTTGCAAACAAAACTATGCATTTAAAAAAGCATCATGATTAGCACATTATTTTAAGTTAATAATCTCAAAAGGTTATCGATTCATTACAGAGTAAACATTTTTATGAATAAATAATGACAAAAGAAATAAAACAGTCATTACTGAGCATCTGATAGCCGCAGTGCTCTATTTAAGCAACATGAGAAATGAACGGATGCCCACTGTTTGCAGCGGGTCACAGTAAAAAATAAAAATAAAAAGAGTATGAGTATTCAGTGCTTTACCAGTTTCTCTTCAAAATATACAGAAAACATGAAGCTCATACTGTGAAGTTGACATTCAAATTTTCTTCCATTAATGGCAAAGTCCTCATCATAGTCTTAAGTCACATCTTAATTGGCTTAAAAAAATAAAACCGGAAAGAAAATCACTTCTACACGGAGCAATCAGACCCCTGTGGGGGCGAGGCGGCTGATGAAGGCGATACTGCTGAGGCACATTCTCCTCAAAAACACAGGACAGGCAGGCTTCATGATGAAGTGCTCCAGAAGAATTCTTAACTCGTAGAACAAGGTGCTGAAGTGGTTAAAAAAACAACAGGGTAGATTATTAAATGTTTAAAACAAACAAAAGCCAAGTACAATGTATTAACGTGATTATATTGTTGCTTGAACACCTTTATAAAATGCAGGTTTCTGCCATTTCTTTACATTAGATAACAGTTTTTGCATCAACACAACAACTATCTGCTCTGTAGCTTCTTTTATAAATCTGAGCAGCAACACATTGTGTAACAGATGCTGGCAGAATGAGTGTAAAAATGAGTCCATCCCTAGCAATCCCAATAATAAAACAATTTATAATCTACCTTTAAATTCAAGTTATGTCTTCAGAAATTACCTCTTTAACTCAAATTCTAATAATTTCCTTTGCATTTGAATATTTTTCCTTGCTGGGTACTGTAGCTAGTTGGTTAAGGGATTCCTCTTTATCAAATTTAGGACTGGGATTCCTGACGATATCACTCGAAACTAATAAATTTAAAGTTTTCAAACGGCACTGTCCTAAATAAAACTAGCTTGTTGCCAGGCTAGGTTATAAATGGACAAATTTTAACAAACTGCAGATTAATTGGAAGCTTTTGAGATGGAAAATTTGAAAATAAACTTTTTTCCTTCTTCAAAAAAACCCTGTTCTTTTTGTATCACACATTGGTCTGTATATCACTTCATGTGTATTTTGTTGGAATAATATTTCAGTCAACAACTTACCGGCAGTATGGGTTTCTTCTGGATGTGTAGCGGAGTGCAAGGAATCTGTAGTAAATAAACGGCAGCAACAAGCTTCCCTGGCCACTGTTGGTTAGACATAAAAGGTTCGCTGAGTTGTTGAAGCATATCAAACATCTAATAAAATCCAGTCACGTCTGTAGTTATTGTTAGGAGCCCTAATGCCTCGTGACAACAAAAGTCTGTGCCTTTAACAGTAAACATACCTGAAGAGCATGAAAACAGTCGCTGGCATTAAAAATATCTCATTACAAGCGATAAACTTCAGGATGTTCTGCTGATTGGTCGTTATTCGGTCCAGGAGGTTCCTTACAAACATCAGGCTGTTGGGGCCCATGGACTGAAATGAAACAAAAGTTAAATCTACTACGAACACGGCTGAACAGTTTTCAGTCGAGCCACAGAGTTTGTGTTGAGTAAAACGAAAATCTAATCATAGTAGTACGTTTTTAGCTTTAATTAAACTTTTCGGCCAATTTAGTTTCATAAATGAAACTCCCATGTGGCTGCAGCTCATGAGCACAAAATGTTGGCAAAGTGTTTTCAGACATACATTTCAATAAAAGCATTTTAAACCACGGCAGATTATATGATTCTTACTCACATCCAGAACTTTCTTTGTGTATGTAGTCGCATGAAGCAAGGAAAACAGGAAAACTGGGAAGATGCTCACTGGACACGAGTGTTAAGGAACAACTAGAAACACTTAAAAAAATAATTGTGCAATTAAAAAAAACTACAAGTTACTCATCAAAACTACGTTTTACAGGTAAATCCTTTGTAATTTGTTAAAATACTGTGATTTTAGATTAAAAAATCTTTGAAGAAAATCCTTATACGTAGCATAATGGAACAGCAAATAAATTACAAATCTACAAAAACAGTTTCACAAATGGGGAAAAGGTTAAAGTTGCTGAACAGATTCATTTCAAATTAAATAATTACACAATTTAAAGCAACGATTGGCTCTTAAGGCTGGTTTATACTTCTAGATTTAGGTCTTGCTTACATGTCAGGCAACACGATGGCTCAGTGGTTAGCACCGTTACCTCACAGCAAGAAGGTTCTGGGTTCAATCCCCAGTTGGACCGGGAGTCTTTCTGTGTGGAGTTTGCATGTTCTTCTCGTGCAGCGTGGGTTTTCTCCGGGTACTCCGGTTTCCTCCCACACACCAAAAACATGCACGTTAGGCTGCCTTCAGGCCCAGGCCTCCCTTGCAAAAGAGATCTGTGATCTCAGTGGAATTTGTCTGGTTAAATAAAGGTTAACAATGTTCCACATGATGAAAACGAAGTAGCTTCCGCCCATTACCACCCGCTGACACCGTCCTGTGCATTGCCTCCAGTCAGAACCATTTTGCAGGCTATGCGGGACGCATTGCGTGATTGGTCAGAACTTTGTGGGCGTGTTTGTGTATGTGGAACAGCGCTTGCTTCTTCTGCATGTCTTCTTTTTCTTCAGGGGTCGCCACAATGAATTATCCTCCTCCATCTCACTCTGTCCTCACTCCAACTACCTTCATATCCTCTCTTACTGCATCCATAAATTTCCTTCAGTGTTTCCCCTACCATTATACAAGCGGGGCGCCCTGCCCCGTCAACAGAACTGAGCGCCCCACCTACTGAGCCAAACTACATGCACCCCCCCCCCCCCCCCCCCCCCCCCCCCCCACCCATCTAACAGCCCCCCCCCCCCCCCCCCCCCCATCACAAAAAGCTAAAGGTAGGCCCACACTGCCTCTTCCCTCATGACAAACCCCCCGCTCGCAAACTGTCGGTACAAACAGCGCACAGCTCAGGACGTATCTCCTCTGCATTTCTAACATCCTTCTACCAATATACCCACTGTCCCTCCTCTGGACATGTCCAAACCACTATCCCTCCTCTGGACATGTCCAAACCACTGTCCCTCCTCTGGACATGTCCAAACCATCTCAGGCTGGTCTCTAACTGTATCTCTAACTGTTCAACCTGTGCTGTACCTCTGATGATCTCATTCCTGATCTTCTCCATCCTTGTCTCTCCTAAGTAGAACCTCAACATCTTCATTTCTGACACTTCCAGTTCTGTCTCCTGTCTTTTTGTCCATGTCTCTGTCTCCAGACCATACAACAGAGCTGGTCTCACCACTGTCTTGTGAACTTTTCCTTTGACCTTTGCTGACACCCCTTTTGTCACAAATCCCTCCTGAAACTTTTCTCCATCACTCCATCCTGCCTGGACTCTCTTCTTCTTTACCACACTCCCCATGTTCCTGGACAGTGGACCCCAAGTCCTTGAAGTCCTGCAACTTTGTGACCTCTGCTCCTTGTAGCCTCACTGTTCCACCTCCTCCCTCTCATTCACACACATGGACTCTGTCTTACTACGGCTGACTTTCATTCCTCTTCTTTCAAGTGTGTACCTCCACCTCTCCAAGTTCTCTTCCACCTGTTCCCTGTTCTCACCACAGATCACGTCATCTGCCAACATGCTTCTTCTGCATGTTACTTCACTGAAAATGCCCCGCCGATTGGATTGGTTTTAAACGTCTAAGAATACGTTTTCGAGTAAAAACAACAACTCTGTCTATCCTGCTATAACTGCTGGCTGTTACATGCTTAGCTATGCCGGTGACGTGTGCTACAGTGGGAGGGCAGAGGGAGAAATTAGGATGATTTATCCCCCACGTCTTCTCCTCGACTATGAACGGAGCATGAGACAGACATCTAAAACTACATACTGACAATCGACTGGCTTACGTCCTGTTGAAGTATAAACCAAGACTGACACATTCATGATGGAGCTGAAGGAAGAAACGAACATGCACACTACATCAAACAACAAACACATAATGAAGGAGCCTTTAAAGGGTGAACCTGTTTAGGGTGAAAGGATACTTGTGATGGGGTAGGAGTTGACCAGGATCAGGGAGTAGAGCAGGTAGTGACAGCTGTCTTCCTGCAGAGCCTGGGCCAGGAACGCTCTGCTCAGCTGAAAGCGTGGAAGCCTCTGGTGTAGGCGAAGCGCACTGGTAAGTGCATTGGCTAACAAGGCTCTCTGATAGAAGTTAGCAGCTGCGTGAGGTCTGAAACACAAAAAGAGTGACATATTTTAACTTTAGGATGGATTAAATATCAAATGCATGCTGGCTGTTTTACAGTCTGTATAACTCACCCCAAGATAGGTAGAATAAACATGACGGAGCAGTAGACTGTGAAAAGACGTGATAGCCACATTGCCGTTTCCAGCTTGTTGCTCATTAAAAATGGCTGAGAAACAAAAAAAAAAAACATTAACCATTGAACATACTTGATTTTTTGTAACAGGTGAATGCACTGAAAAAGACTGTCCCCAATGTTCTAAAGTTAGAATCAAACAGAGTTGCAACTGTTGGAGACTCTTGTCAAGAAGAGAAAGTTTTCAGCTGCGCTCAGTGAATTCGGAGTGTTTGACAGTAAGTCATCAGTTGTGCTTTGAGTAGACAGTTTTTGAAAATCACAACTTTTTGTGCATCTTGTGAAACTGCATTCTAGACCCACAATGAATGTACCCACCACCGTGTAATTTATTCTGCCAGAGGACACTTTTAAATGAAAAAACACAGACTGGGAACAGTTTTTAAAACAATTATTTTTGATCGTGTGTGTTTTAGATCTCAACATTAGTTTTGATTGTGTTTCATCAGAAGAGCACCTGTGCAGGTGTCAAAATACAGCTCTAACTCAGAAGATGCGTTCGGAGTCGTAACTAAATTCAGATGGGTACGAGACAACCGGGACGACTGTGGGACTCCTTTCAGTGAATTTTCTGATCATGTTCAAAACTCAACTGATAAGTTGAGGCGTCTCTGCAACTCGTGAGGAAATTGAGAACCCCCGCAACGACTTTGAGACACGTTGAAGACGCCTACATGAACACAGTTAGAAGACTTGAGACCAAAAGTCCGAGCCCAGTGAAGTACTGCTTTAGAATAGAAATAGAATAAATAGAAATAACTTTTACTGTCCCTCAGTGGGGACATTCAGCTGTACCAGCAGTAAAATGACGACAAGTAAAGCACACAAAGGCAGAAAATATAAAAATATAAAATCAGAATATGAATGAGTCTGTACAGTACGAACATATTTACAGCACAAGAACAAAATACTGTGCAATTATTAAAAATAGTATTCCTACATTCAAGAGATGTGAACTGAGTAGGATCATTTAAAGAATGTACAACATGTGCATGTGTTTTTGCACATACAGTAAAAAAACACAGTGTCACAGAAATGTAAAACTGTGCACGTGACAGCAGGGATGTAAACTCTTATTGAGTTTGTTGTGATGATGGTTCTGAAGTCTAACGGTCACTGGGGGGGGGGGACCTGAGCTAACGCTCCTTTGTGCACATTGAATGCAGCAGTCTGTCCCTGAAGGAGCTCTCCAGTTCTGGAACAGTTTCATTCAGGGGGTGGGACACATTGTCCAACGAGTTCTTCTGTTTCCCCCCACCTGCACTGGGTCAAGGGGACATTCTGGGACAGAGCTGGCCTTCCTGATGAGCTCATCCAACTGCTTCCTCTTAGCTGTAGATAATCTGCTGCTCCAGCAGACTACATCATAGATGGCCGATGCCAGCAGAGTCAAAAAAGGACTTTAGGAGCGCCCCATGTCCTCCAAACGACCTCAGTCTCCTCAGCAAGCAGAGTCTGCTCTGATCCTTCCTGTAAAGTGCATCAGTGCGACTCCAGTCCAGTTTATTATTCAGGTGAGCACCAGGTACTTCTAAGAGTCCACCATCTCAAAGTGAGCTCCCTGGATGTTCACCAGTGTCAGTGTGGTGGGTCTGCGCCTGCAGGAATCCACAACCAGCTCCTTGATTAACAGCTTTAAAATAAAAAGTACAAGCGTAAAAGCACGAGCTCTTATTAATGCCTTGGTTTAACTAAACAGTAGAGCTGGTAAATTATTTGTAAATTTACTTGTAATTTAAATTACTTGTAAATTACTTTTGTAACGTGGTGACACGTTTTCAACATATGTTTGGGGAAATAGGTGCTGTTTTGAGATTTTGATGAGCCTCTTTACCAAACCAACGCGCTTCTTCTCCTTTTGCTTAGTTCTTTAAAAACTTTGCAGCTTCAGCTTTTGTTTATTGGCACATCGATCAAACAAACAAAAAAAACCCCCACTGGATATGCCAATTTTTGAGGCTTTTTCTTTACTTTTATTCTAATTCATCAGTCCTCAGTCAGAAAAGACTGAATTGCCCGCTCTGAGCTGGGAGGGAGGTGCTGCCTAAAATGGAGGAGTTTACGTATTTCTGGGCTTGGTTCATGAAACGTGCAAGACCAAATAACAGATTGGTGCATCGTCCATAGTATTGTGGACACTGTGCCAGTCCATTGTGGTGAAGAGGGAGCTGGTTAATAGTCAGTTCCTACCATCACCTATGGTCACAAACTTTGTGTAGTGACAAAAAGAACTATAGCAGGTACAAGCAGCTGAAATGGTTTCCCTCAACAGGGTAGCTGAATTCTCCCTTAGAGATGGGGAGAGAAGTTCAATTCTCCAGGAGAGACTCGGAGTAGAACCGCTGCTCCTCCACGTCGAGAGGAGCCAGTTGAGGAGGTTCAGACTTCTAGTAAGGTCAAGCTGCAGACCCCATGACCCAACTCCAGAGCAATTGGAAGATAGTGGATAGATGGATGGTGCTCCAATCCTCACATTTAGTTTTTTTATTAAAGTGCTAAAATAAATGCTGCCCAAAAAGCATCAGCACAGTGATTGTCAGCGAGAAATGAAGAGTTAGCTGAACTTAGCTGGAAGATATAAAAGTGAGGTTATAACAGATAATCAGGTCTCGCTTGTAAATGAGTCCCAGAGGCTCAGTGGGATTAACCTGTACAAATAAAGGTTGAATGAATAACTTACCACAGGCCCCAACTGGGGAGGAGGGTTTGGTTGGTTAGGGTCTGCCATTTGTCAAAGCGCAGTCTGCGTAGAAAAAAATAAAAATCAAAAGATTACTTGAAATGCAACAATGAAACCTATTTAGAACAATAAAGTCTCACAAGACATGTTTTCTCACACAGACACTTTTTTTTTGTCAAAATATCCAGGTGTTGCTTTAATATTCTTAAATTAATCAGTTTGCAATCAAAAATCACAAGCAACTCTAATTTTGAGCTTCATTTATATTTGCTGCTTTTTTTTTTAAATTTATTTGAGTTTTAGACAATTTCTTTTTACTCTTTAGAATACTACCTACCTTTCTGAACAGAACGCAGACAAACAGAACAGTTCCAACATTAACTTGTTAGGATAAACATAAGTCTACGATGATTAATTTAAAGTTATGTTTAATGTGAGGGGAAGAACTGTAACCTGGCAAACCAGCGCAACTGGCCTGAACCAGCTCAACAACAAGACTGCCTAGCTAAACAAGACAATTTTAAAATAACCACAGTACGATTTCTAACTCAATGAATGAAAAGCTGAACTTTAGCCATTTAAAGTTGTTTTATCCACGCTCACACCGGTGATCTAGAATATTCTGTTACCATCGTTACAAGGCTCTACTCAAGCTAACGTTAGCCACCTAGCATCTCCCTGCCTCCTGTAACCATGCTAACATGGCTACGCTGGCTAACGATACCTGCCCTGGCTGCTTAAAAGAAATTCGATCGGATATAACCTGTTAAAATTACATTTGGTTGTGATACAACGTGCTTCTGGATCTGAGAACTCCGTGGCGTAGAGAAAACCGGTGACAGCTTCAATGCTGAATGTAATAAATGATCACCTGACCTTCAGAAACGGAAGTGAGCTCAAATCTCGCGATATTTCAGGAAGGCAGTCACAGACTTTGAATGGCGCCCTCTAGTGGATGAAATAAACATTTTTCAGCTTTAGTTGTATAAACTAGAAATAAAATCCTCACGACACAAACCAAATATAGTTTTTTTAATTTAACATAAGAGTAGAAGAGAAGAACAACAGTCGAGCTGCAAATATTAAGACCACGAGCTGTGTGATTCCTTCCTTTGTACTGAAACTGGCACAACAATTTCTTGCGGGTTCAAGTTCTATCTCATCTTATTTTATTATAAATGGATTGTTTCCCATTGTTGACATGTTTGCTGATGTTTTTAACATTATTATGTTTTGTAACATTATTATATTATTATTGTTATGTTTATTTTTCTATCTCACCTGAACAGAAAAGACTAAACAATCCAACAGTGCATCCAACATTTAAGTTTTTTCAGTTTGTTTAAATTAGTGGTGAAACTTTTAAACCATGCCTCAAACTTATATTTTGCAAACAAAAGACCTGAGTTTATTTTTATTTGATAACACTTTGAGCTGGTCTTGAGAAACTGTTATGTTTTTAAGGTGTTTTGTTTTTCTTTCTGAAAACTGGACACTTTCCTAATAAATCTTATGTACCTGTTTGTTTGTTTGTTTGTTTTGTTTTTAAACCTGTAAGCAGTTCAAATCAAGCACAAAAAGATTTCTTACCCATAAAGGAAGAATAAAGAACCATGTTGGTTTGAATCTGTTTTGTTTAATCTTTTTAGTGTGTCACAAATTCTTTTGAATTCTTACAATTCCTTAATAAGATGTTTGTACCAATAAAGAAATTCATGAGTCGTTAACTAAAAATTGGACTGTTTTCTCTGCGAAAAATATCTGAGAATACTGAGAAGCAATAAAGAAACATCAGGCCCAAGAGCTACCAACAGCTGAGTGTCTTAAAGTCATGTCTTAAAAAATAGAAAAATGTTCAGCAAAGAAAAAACATGTAATGAGAGATATAAATTCTAACTCTTTTAGGCTGAAAGCCTTTATGTAAACCTGTCAAATTGATGTTGTTGCTATTTCTGCAAAGGAAACCAACAAAATGTGTTGTAATAATGTTAATTTGTTAAATCACTGAGTGTGTTTCTTGTTTTTCTCTGTGGCTTAAACAATACACAGGTTCATACACTAAATATGAAGCAGACAACGTCATCAACAATAAAAAATACTACCACTAACAATTACAATAATATTAAAGTTATTGAATTAAATACATAAATATATAAAACAGCTAAAGCTGAGCTCATGAACATAAAATAAAAATGTGGTCCTTCAAAGGGTTTGGTGCATTATGTAAAATAAAATATTGTAATTCTCTGGTCTGCCTCGTGCAAATTAACAGTTTTGAAGGCGTTGCTGCAATAAGTTGAAATAAAACAATGTTTGTTTGTTTGTTTTAAGGAAGATTTTAAAGCTTTGAGAGGACATTATGCAACATTGCATTCATTTATCAGATAAATGCGGATCTGGATATTTGGATAAAAAATATTTCCAATCTATAATCAGATAATTAGGAGAATGTTGCATTTAATGTTCTTATTTTGTTTCATGCCGGCGCCTCTCCTGCTGCATTTCTCCAGTTGAACGCTTCCACCACCAGGGGGCGCGCGCCACCGGACCCTCGCGGTCTCCTGCACGTTGGCCTACATCCTGGTGCAGAAAATTTATTTTAGCTTTAAGTGTACCTTATTTGGTCCCAACATGTTTAAAATCCTACATGTGAGTGCATGTGTGGCGCGCACAGACTCAGAATATCTGCCGCGCGTCGCAGGATGATGTGTTCCTGCATTTGAACATATAGGCAGTGTAAGCACTGTAGAATCTAATTATTTCTTTGCAAAACCTAATTAGGCATTAAAAAAGGTTAACGCCAGCGCCTGAAACGTTTTTGTTTAATAATCCCATTACTGGCGGCTCATCATGTATAAAATGGTGCAGGAGGACACTAAGTTTCCACTTGTTAGAGGGAATCTCTGAGAAATAGTCGCAGCTTTTTGACACGGTCCGGAACTGTAATGGCACCGGGAGGCTCGGCTCGGCTCGGCTCGGCGCGCACAGTAAGTGAGGCCTGCTTTCTGCACGCACTTCTTTTAAATGTTTAACGAACGATTGTGTAAAACGCGTTGGAGCACGGCAGCACCTCGGTCCATTCCGGTCCGGATGATCCGAACCCTCAGAGGATTTAACAGAGAACCTCAGTCAGAACCTGCTCTGGACTCATATCTGGCACAAAACGAGTTTTGGCACGGAATAATATGAATAACGCGAAATATGTATTTTATTTTTCTGCTTCTTTGTTATAAATGAGCGCTCGATGTTTGATCCCATTTTTTATTCCTGCAAAGCTGCATTTTGACATTTTGAACCATTTCCAAATCTTCTTCAGCCCTCACATCATAAAAGTTTACAGATTATTATATAAAGTATTTTAATGGAGCGTCGGGTCAAAACAGAAACAGCTTGGAGCTTTTCTTTCTTCAGAAAGAGGAAAAATGATTCTGCATGAGGATCTGAGCCTCTGGCGCTTTGGATCAAACGCGGAGCGCGTGCAGGAGGACGGAGAAAAGGGGTGGTGGTGGGGGGTGTTGGGGAGGGGGGGTGAGCACGGTGGGTTTGAAGCAACAATAAAGCGAAATATCAGCAGCTCCTTTGTTTTGGGTTTTATTTAGTAAAATATTAAAATAGAGGAGGAATCAACATAATGTTTTACGGAACAAAAAAGATGTTTTAAATGAAAATTTACAACCAAAAAACAAACAAACAAACAAATTATTAACGTTTCAATTCAACACAATTACTTTTTTAATTCGTTTTTTTCATAAAGTTTAGATATTTTTTTTTACCTGTCTGCACAGTTTTAACTTCATTCGTTTCAGTATTCAGTTTTTTTTTAATTATTTTTTTATTCCTGCACGAGGCCGTTCATTGGATATTTGACCAGTTTTTAATACATTTGGTTTGGAATTATTTTAATTTCCCGTCGATTTTATCAGAGGATGAAAAATATCTGCATGTTAGAAAATCTGTATAGAAAATATTTTCCTCGTTGACAATTATATTATTATTCTTATTATTATTATTATTATTATTATTATCATCATCATCATTATTATTATTATTATTATTATTATTATTATTATTGTAGATTACTTAGTTTAGTCAAAACTGAAAACAAGATTATTCTAAATATTTAGTCATCTTCTGGAAAATTGAACCAAGAATATTTATTTATTTATTTATTTGTTTGTTTATTTATTAATTTCAGAATCAGTGGTTTTATATTCGTTTGTTAAATATGCAGGTCCACACAATCTGTGTTTTATTTATAAATTGTGATGTATTTTTTATTAAAAGTGTTTCATAAATGATAAGATGCTGTTTCATCATATTGTTGTTAAAGGTTCATAATTTTGAGATGAATCAGACAGAACCGACGGACTCACAGATCCAGAAGGACCTGGTGGGGGTCCATAATGGAAGTGACGGCCCCAGGATTGTCCCCCAGTGGTTCGGGCGGTCTGAACCCATTAGGTCATCGGTCCCCCCCCCCCCACCCCCCCACCCCGGTCTCTCTGATCAGACGGTTCGATGGGACCAGTCCGCTTCGCGCGCGCTTTGTGCGCCGGGATCCGGTCCGAGATCTCGGGTTTGCCTCCAACCTGTTATCAGTACAATAATTATTGATTCTGTTTGTAAGTTATAAACCCCTTCACATTAATATGAAGAATATTTGATTGACTTCACACTGATCTATTAGATGACCGACATGTCTGCAGGTTTTCATATTCAAACAAATCATTTAAACATAAAAAAAATGATGGGATCCGAACCGCAGCGCGTGCGTGAGCGTGCTTTGGACTGATCATTGCACCAACCAGGTACCCCACCCCCCCACCCCCCATGAAAGCAAACTGGTGCACACAAAGAGCTGTCACGTGATCATTCCTATCATTATTGAGGCAAAAACATATTTTCACTTCTTCTTTCCTCAAACACAAATATTCTAACTATATTTTAATATAACTATATTTTTTATATGTGAACTGATTTATACCCTGCTGAGAATGAAACAGATTTAACATAAAATTATTTTTGCATCTGCATTTAGTGTCAGCTAA